GAAAAATATAAACACAAACGGATATTCAAATATGAACCATTTCAGACATTTTCTCTCATTTGGAGAATATGCTGCTTCTAGTTTAGGGCTAAATGTTTTCATGTACAATAGCGAGCTAATTGCAGATATCGCTTCATCGATTGTTTCAAGAGAGTATCATTTATATTCTTAATAACGCCTGCTACAGATGAAGCTATCATGGTTTCAAATGTTTCAAAATCTGGTGTTACACGGGAGCCATCGTGACGCTCCAGAATTTCTCGATTGGATCCTAAAATTCATTTTTTTTATTTGAAGGGCAATTTCTTTAATTTGAGGGTAAAAAATATCGTCCTTCCTATGAAAATGCATATTTTGGACGGAGTAGATATTTAGAAGAAATAATTTAATAGTATTACATACGGTAATTTTTACACAAACAATTTTTTTTTTCGGTGAGGGGAGAAAGATTACAGGCGATGAAGAGTGACTTGTTTACAATAATTCAATGCTAAAAACGACATTAGCGACTGTTAATCATCACAAAACCGGTAATGCGGCGTATCTGGTAGGATTGCAAAGGGATTATTGATATTGGGCAATCTGTGCAAAAGCAGACATTTAATTCATGCAAGAACTACAAGAACTCCTACAGAAGATATTGAAGAAAAACGAGAAGAAAGGAAAAATCAACAGCTACAAAAAGACATAATGCATGATTGTGAGCAAAAAGATGAGCCCAATTCGCAAATTTCAAATCAGAGATAGCAAAATCAAACAAGTAGAAAAATTTAAATATCTGGAAAATGTTTAAACAGAGGACAGAAAGTGCGACACTGAAATCCAAAGACGCATTGGAATAGCCAAAGATGCCTTCCAAAAGCTAAGCAGAGTATTAAGAAACAAAAAAAAATATTAGTTAGAAACAAAAAAAAAGACTACTTAACTGTTACTTGATGTCAGTCCTCCTATATGGCACTGAATGCTGGACAATCACCTGAAAGATGAAAAGACTTGAAGCAACAGAAACAAAGAAACGAGTACTGAACTGTTATTTAATATCAGTCCTCCTAAATGGCAGTGAATGCTGGAAATCTCCTCACAGATAAAGAAGAGACTTGAAGCAACAGAAATGTAGAAAGATGCTGAGGATACCATCGACCAAACATGCGAGCAGGTACGAAACTTTAGAGAGAAAAAAAGGAAACTTATACAGGGTACGATGGGTAAATTTTCACCATTTTATATTTTTAATTTCGCGCATGCGCGTTGTTTTTGATTTTGTCGACTGCACATTATAGTAGGGCCAGTTGGGCACCGTCTGTGAGAAAAAAAAAAAAACACCATGACGCATTTCACTCCCACAGTAATTTGTAAACGATATGCTACACTGCTTGGCATTCGCGCTGAAGTCTCAAACACAAACATTTCAGAATGTTTAGGTGTCAATTTGAAGAGAATGCAGATGATTCGGAAAGAGTTGGATGAGTCTAACGGTGATTACGAAGGTGTTTGGTGTGATCACTAGTGATGGCGATGTTATGCCTCCATTCATCTCCTCAGAGAGCCTCAGATTCAACACGTAGTCTACATCAAGTGCCTTCCGGAGGTAGTGCTACCCTGGGTCAACAGGGTGGCTGCTGGAAGACCCTGTTTCAGGGGACAGGATTCTGCACGATGCCATAGAATCAGGAGAATCCAAATATGGATGTCAGACAATTTCTGAGACTACATCACCCCTTACATCTGGTCATCTAACTCCCCAGACAACTCCCTTGATTATTATATGTGGAGCACACTTGAGTGAGAGACCAACAAAATTCCTTGTAACACCAAAGATGTGCTGAAGACAAGAATTATGGCAGCATACACTAACTTAAAATAGAAGACCGTCCAGAAGTCATCTGGAAGCCGTGATTGAATCCAATGGCGATTTTATTGAATAAACTTACTCTTTAGTATGTCAAAATAGTTTTGTGTAATTTTGGTAAATATATCTCTTAAAATGAGATATCAGTTTTATATACATTATTACGTAATTTAGACGACAATTTATCCATCGCACCCTGTACAGAATTTCAGGAAGTGAAAGTTGAAATTTCTAAGCCACGTAATGAAGAAAGAGGGCTTGGAAAATCCGATACTCACAGGACAGATTGAAGGCAAGAGTGACAGAAGAAAACAACGCATAAAAAAAGACAAAATTTATTAAGAGCTACGAAGGAAAGGAAATTGTGGAGAGCCATGATCACCTATGTCCTGAAGGGACACAGCGCATAAAGGAAGATTATTCCCGATTAATGGTATCAGTTGATGAAAAGCGTTCAGTATTGGGCAATCAGAAGTCTGTCGTCTTCCACCAGGACAACGCCAGACTCCACGCCTCTTTGTGCTAAGATAGTTGCGTACTGGATAATTGAGTCCCGTGCAATTGCGTACCAGACATTTGCGTCCTTAGACAAATGCGTGATTAGATAATGGTATACCTCTGATAATTTTTTAAGCATTTAAAAGCGATTAC